TTGTTGTTGTTTTGTGTTTAAAATACAGTTACACTTTTAAGAAACAGAAATACCAGGATTTCTTTAAAAAAAAAAAAAAAAAAAAGACTGTTTCAAACCAGGCATACAAATCTCATATGTGCTGAACCATGGATTTCCTGACCTGCACATGCGAAAATATCCCCTTATTACAATGCCTGAGCCTAAGATTGCTCCACTATGGATGTGATCCTTTGGCTTAAGCATTATCTTTCATTTGGCTTCTGGGAAGGTAGGGAGGCTGATGGCAGCTAATGACAATGCCCCAGGAATAAATCTCTAAGTTTATACATGCAACAAATACCATTGTATTTATTTTCTTCACCTCAAACTAATTCTATTCCTGAGTCCTACAATATTCCAGAGGGTCCCCAGATTCTGGTGTCTCCTTCCTCTCTTTCTGGGGTCATGCCGAAGTTCTGGTTTCTTGTTTTCTAACAAGGGTGAGGGTAGGAAATGGACTTCTACTGGCAGATGTCCAGCTTATTTGCCTGATCCCGTGTCCTATCGACAGGCCCCAAGGGAGGATGACATCGCAGTACATGTGTCCTCCTGAGGCTCTCTGGCATCCAAGAGCAGATGGCAAGATCCTAGGGTGCCTGTGTACCCACTTGCACTCTGCACCACCAGCTCTCTAAGACCACTGGACGAGCCTCACCAACTTCTGGCATAATGCAGTTTCCAGTGTCTGTCGACCTGATGAGCATCATGTACATCTCGTTCTGGTACTGGTGTTTCCATCCGGTGTCTAGCAGTGCTGCTGAACACCTCTACATGTATTGTCCACTCAAACTCCCCTTTCTGTGAATTGCCCATTTATGTCTTTTACTAGTTGTTTTTTTTTCACATTGTTCTTAGTAGTTTTTCTTTATTGCTATTTTCATTCATTCATTCTTTCTTTCTTTTTTTTTTTTGTATCAGAGATTGAACCCAGGGATTCTTAACCACTGAGCCACATCCCCAGCCCTTTTTAAATTTTTTATTTAGAGACAAGTCTCACTAAGTTGCATAGGACCTCACTAAGTTGTTGAGGCTGGCTTTGAACTTTCAATCCTCCAAACTGCTGGGATTACAGGCGTGTGCCACCATGCCCAGCTATAATTCTTTATTTTGAAGAATTTCAAACTAACGAAAAGTTTTATGGCTTTTACAACAGAGTATACATTTTAATGCATATACATATATAATATATATATATAATTCTGTGTGTGTTGGGTTTTTTTAATACCTTTATTTTATTTATTCATTTTTATGTGGAGCTGAGGATCAAATCCAGGGCTTCTCACGTGCTAGGCAAGCACTCTACCGCTGAGCCACAACCTTAGCTCCGGTGGTGGTTTTTTATATGTAACCCAACTCTCAGTTGATTGTAATCCTCTGGACCGAGTGTTAAATTGATCTTTATTTTATTTGCTTTTTATTATGGTAAGAAATACATAATGTATTGTAAGTGTATATAGTTCAGTAGTGTTAAATTTATTCACATTGGTGTGAATATATATAAATATAGCTTGTTGAAATATTTGAAAGTATGTTGCTGGCATTCAGATTTGGATATGTCACCACCCCGGTAATTTTCTGAAATTATGAAAAAATACCTCCCAATCCCTTACCTGTCTATTAATTTCATCTGTGAAGATCTTCATGTAACCACAATTTTAATTTTGTTGTCATTGATGTGTTTATTTTTGTCCCTTAGGAAAGAGGTTTTGAGGGTCTTACCTAAGAAGTTCTTGGCTTCTCCAAATTGCAAAGATATTTTTCTTAACAATTTTTCCTTTTAACTTTATAGTTTCACCTTTCAAATTTAGATCTTAAATCTAAGGGGGTCAACTTTGTGTGGGATAACATGTAGGAATTCAGTTTTTTCTTCATATATAAGTTTTTTCAATGCCATTTAACATTTAATCACCACCCTGGCTCCTCTTAGCCCAGGGTTCCATGCATGAAGGTTGCTTGCAGACTCTGTCCTCTCCACTCCTCAGTCCACCTGTTCCTATTCAGGAAATGCATGATTCTGTGCTGTCTCTTGCTTTCTTTGACCTACTGTCTGACACATCAACTTTTCTTTTTGGCTCTTGTTTTCCAAACTTTACAGCAATGTGAGGACTTTTACTCTTGTATATAAATTTTAGATGATGTTTTCTCAGTTCTTCAAACCTTCTGCTCACAGCCACCCACTGAACGACCTTCACGCCAGCCATCCAGCTGTCTTCCTACCTAATGAGTTCCTGGATGCTAAGAAGCAAATTTAAATATGAAGGTTTTTTTCCTGAGAATTCACTTCATGCCATACCACAAAAATGCCAAATCTATCTTGAAAATAAATAAAAGACGTTATCTTTTGAAGTGGTTCTGAATTCATGAAATTTGGATATGTAAAGGAGAATGCTTTCATTAATCTCCCCAAACAAATCCTAAGCATCTTAGGGAGACCTGTCTCAAAATAAAAAATAAAAAGGGCTAGGGATGAGGCTCAGGGGTAAGTGCCTATAGGTTCAATCTCTGGTACAAAAAAAAAAAAACTGACTTGAATTTCTTTTTTATGGAAACAGCTCCCATTTTCTCTGGGGTGGAATCTGAGTTCCAAAGGAGTTACAGAGAACTATGGCTTCCAGGCAGTGGAGAGATTCATGGAGTGCTCCACATCACCGAGACAGGTAGGTATCGTTGATATGCACATTGTCCCATCTGTCCTCAATCATTTGTCCTCAAATTCTCTCTACTTCCTCTGTTCCTCTCCTAGGCTCCTAGCAATCATTCTATGGTTCCATGAAAGCAACTGAGAAATACTAGGAAATTCCATCTACCTAGATGTGCCACAGAACCATTAATTCTCTGAGATCTTGCTGCCTCTCAAAGCTATGCCAGGAAAAAAAAGCACAGCTGCCTTCAGATCTCACAAATCTGCTGGGATCTCAGCAGATTTGTTCTCTCCACCCTCAAACCACCAAAAGCTGACTTCCTGTATTAGTCATGGTTCTCCAGAGAATCAGAACCAAGAGGATGTGTATATAGAGAAATGTTTACCATCAAACTTTGGCTCACTTGATTATGTGAGAATGGCAAGTCCAAACTCTATATCGTGAGCCTGCAGCTTGGAAACCTAGTTCAAGCTTCCAGTTCGAGTCCAAGGTCTGCAGTAGAACCAGGGAAAGCCAAGGGTGCAGATGAGGTCTGAAGGCAGTTCTGCTGGAGAAATCGCTCTTGATTGGGTGAGACTGATCTTGTTGCTCTATTCAGGACTTGACTGATTAGATGAAGCTCATTCACATTATGGAGGGCAATCTGCTTTACTCGGAGTCTCTCAATGTAATCGTTAATCTCATTTAAAACACCATCACAGAGATACTCAGAATACTGTCTGATTAAGTATTTGGGTACCCTATGCCCCAGCTATGCTGTTACAAAACTAACATACTCTCCTTGGTTAATTCCATATAATCCTGGGTCTAGTCTAATCAGATATTTCAATGTAGAGGATTGATATTTTTACTGAGATATAATTCACATGACATAAAATTTTAATGATCACCACTATCTAATTCCAGAACACTTTCATTGCCCCCCCCCTTCGCAGTCAAAAAGAGGATTTAGTGAATTGGCAGTGTATTTGACTAACACAATTTAGTGAATTGTATTAGTCCATTTTCCATTGCTATTACAAAATGCCTGAGACTAGGTACTTTATAAAGAAAAGAGGTTTGTTTTCTCAGTTCTGGCAGTCCAAGAGCATAGCTCTGGCTTCCAAATGACTCTGGGAAAGGCCTCATGGTGGATGGCATCCCAGAAACACACATGGGAGAGATTGCACAGTGAGACAGGCAACCAGACAACAAGGAGGGGCCAGGTTTGCTCTTTTATAACAGCCCACTCTCACAAGAATCACTGAGTCCTACAAGTAGACTTAATCCCTTTTGAGGGCAGCATTCCCACTAACCTAATTTCCTCCCACTGAGCCTCACTTCCTAGTGGTTCCACCACCTCTTAACATTACTACACTGTGGACCAAGCGTCTAACACATGGAACTTTGAGGGACACGTTCAAACCATATTCAAACCATAACAGGTTTGGATAGAGGCAGAAAAGGAACAGACACCAACACTGCACACTGAAACTCTAAGAAACGCTTTCACCACTTGGACTGGGGTTGTCAGAACCAGGGTCTAGGAGGAGGGCCTCCCAGAACTGGGACACGGATTTCCTAGAAGAGAGTACCCAAACTTGTAGTGGAACCTCAGGAGACAGGAGGAGGGGACTTCAGAGCTGAGACCTGGATCTCTGAGGTGGGCACTTGGACCATATGCTGGTGTCCTGCGGGAACTCAGGGGGCAGATCTCCCTAAGTTAGGACTCAGGAAGGGGCGCTGGCTGGCTGCTGCTGATAGGGGCTATGATGGGCCAATTATGGGAACTTAAGGAGAGGACGGAACCCGGAACCAATACTGCTGTGGAGTGACGCTGACACGACTGCGAGCACACAGGAAGGCGCAGCGCTTGTCAGTCCTCCTGACTTCCGGGCTCATTTTGGCGCCCCCTATTGGTGGACCTAACAGGGAGCAGCTGGCAAGGAGGAGAGTGAGTTACAGAGTCCGACCCTCACCTTTGTGCCACTGAGGATAGAAGAGGGGTTAGCAGGTGAGAGACCGTAGCTTTTTAAAACCCAGCTCTGTCTGCCTAGCCCCAGATGGGGTGGGGGATTCTCATTGGGAGTGTTAGAAGAAGAGAGTGGCTGTCACCCATGATGTTGTTGTTTTTTGTTTTGTTTTGTTTTTTGTTTTTCCCAAATAATTACCTCTGTTTCAGCTACTTTCCTCCCTGGTCTAAGAGCTCAGGAGCATGATTCCTAGACATACCTGGGCAACTAACCTTGTTCCAGTCCACATCGCTGAATGGAGCCATGCCTGGAGACGGCTGTTTGGAGTGGAGGACGTTGGTGGTTACAGAGGACTGTCTTTAGGAGTGGACGGGATCATACTGCACACACTGTTTAGTCATATTCCAGAGATTGATGAAGGGCACCTGGCTCAGGTGAGATGGTCTGTGGCACATAATTTCACTGACCCACTGCTGAACTGCACCAGTTTTAAACCTGGAAGTATTCACCTTGATTAATCAAATAATAAAAACCAGCTTTAGTAAACAGAACTGCACTCACCTTCGGTGCACACTGCTGGCACCAATGGGAGCCTCACAGTGGATCCTCAGTTCTGATGAGATCCCAGCTCAGACACTGCCATGCACACGTATGAGCCAATCACGTGTGCCCCTCTACCTGTCTCAGATGATATTGCTCATCTCTCTGCCCTGTATCCTGACTGCATAGCCTCCTTCTGTTTATTTTTGGTAGGCAAATACTGTTTGATTTACCCAAGTGACATCTGAGGCTGGGTTTTCCTTTAATCCAAGTCCACTGTTGGTATCTGTCAAGACAGTATCGTGATTGTACACCTTCCCATTATGTGAAGAGTCTAAGTTTTGCAATGCAAAGAGCCAGGAAGGGGATTCTTTTCTTTGCATTTTTGCAGTCATCTTCTCTCTAGAACTAATCAGCACACAGTGGCCTAGCTGCTTCAAGAGATATGTCATAGGAGTTTTTTTTTTTTTTTTTGGCTTTTGTTTTTAAAATTTGGTTTTGTAATATTACATATGCCCAGTTCACAAAGCAAACACATACAGCTACAAAGTGTAGCCACCACCCTGAAAAGAAAGAGGACATTGTCAAGCCCCCAGAAGCCTCTGGGTGCCTTCCCTTCAGGTGTACCCTCCGTGTTGACTCACAGGTTCACATTGTATCCATTCGAACAAGCTGGAATTAGGCTCCTTGGAATCCCTGAATTACTTGTAGAATAACTCGGACACTTTTCCTCCCCTTCTTTACTCCATCCCTGCAACCTTTATTTTTCTCTTGAGCAAAGCTTTAGAAGGCAGGAGTAAAACAGCAGGTCTTACTTTACAGAAGTTGACACGGTCAGATTTGGTGATAGACCCAGAGGTCCCTGTCCTCATCCTGTACCTCCAGTCCTTCCTTCTGATGGGGATCCAGCTGGACCAACAGCGACCCCAGCTCACAATGGACACTCTCAGCCATGGCAGCTGTGCAGAGGCACCAGCCTTGTAGTGACATCTATCCCACAGCAACACTTCACAGTCCTGTTTCAGCAGCTTGCGTGTCTGGTTTCCAGGTCCTCAGAAACTCCAAAGTGTTTGGTAGCTTTTCTGCCTCCTTCCACTCCTTTCTGAATGTGTACTTCCCCATCCTCTGCCCTAACTGCATGAGGACGAATTCCACCAGCTAATCCTGTGTTCACAGGATCCACTTCCCCGACAGAACACTAATCCACAGATTCTCATAGTCATCACTTTTCTTCCTTTTCTTTCAGTGTTATCATCAACTAGGCACACATACTTAAACACTGCAGTTTAGTTGCACCTGTTTTTTGGTGGGGTTTTTGTTTGTTTGTTTGTTTTAAATGAGTGGAATCTCCCTTTGTTTTGTGTCTAGCTTGATTTACTCAGCACTACGTTTGCAAGCTTTGACCACATTGCTGGGTGAAGCTGCAGCTTATGCTTTTCTTTGCTGTGAGAATGTCTTAGTATGAATAACTCACAATTAATTTTTCCACTCTATTGTCAATTTGGACTAGTATAAATCAGGCTGCTATAAACATTCTTGTATATGTCTCTTAGCACATTGAGGTACCTATGTTGTATACAGGTATAAGGGCAGAATGGCTGAGTCATGGAGTATGTGAATCTGAAAATTAAGTAGATAAAAATCAAACTGGTGGTTTTACCAGTTCACATTCCCAACATCATCAGAATTGATATTTTCAATCTTTTCATTTTAGCCATTCTATGGAAGCTTAGGGAATACTCATTTGTGTTTTAAATTGCATTTCTGTGATAATGAGCTTGCACACCTATATATATACTTAATAGCCTTTCTTGAAGTGTCTGTTCTGTTGATTTTTTCCAGTAGGTATTTATTGGTTTATTTTTTCTCATTGACTTATAAATAATTCATTATATATATTTAATATTATTGAGTATATTTTGAATATAAGAACTTATTTGTGTTTTTTTAATGTTTAGTTCAATGAGAGCTGACATATGCAGTTATTGAAAAGTCAATCTTCTCTCTGTGGAATTATCTTGGCATCTTTGACAAAAAGCAATCACTCATGTATACGTGGGTCCATTTCTGGACTCTTCCATTCCTCTGATCTATTTGTCTTTGCATCATTTGCTATTCCTGGTTCTTTACAATTTCAATTTTTAAAAATCCGTTTGTCAATTGCTAGTTTTAATTAGTCTGCTTAGATTTAGATTGATTCACAGATTCATCATCCCAATTTGGAGATTGACATTTAACAACATTGAATCTTATGATGTGTGAATATGGTGTGTGTGCGTGTATTT